GGGGGGGGGGGGGGGGAGCCAAACAGAAACCGGAAATAGAGAGAGAGAGAATGATTTGTTTGAATAAAACTGTTTGTCTGGTTTCGTTTCATAATGTCCGCTGATTGCAGAAATCAATAGCTCGGACAACAATGGACAAAGTGTTGCAAAACATGACATTAGCCCACGCAATGCTTTCTGGCAATCAATATGTGGGAACTGGCTGACTATATGGGATCAAATAAACTCAATGGTATTTATTGATTTGCCGCTGACAATGATTGTTCGGGATTATTTTTTTCGTTGAGTCTACAACCGGGTAATTGTGTCACGGCGTGAATGAGACCGAGGCAGTATTGAAAACATTGAGCTTTTGTTGACACTTAAACTATGACACATTCAATGACAACACTTTATTAAACCGTGCCAATTATTATATAATTATATCATTTTATTTTTGTTGAAACTAAATTTTGATATGCACTTATGGGTCTTGAAAACGGTGAGAGAATAGAACAAAAAACAAAAAAAAAAAAAAAAAAAAAAAAAAAAAAAAAAAAAAAAACGAAAGAAGGTAGGGCCTAATGATTGTGTTTAATGCCTACAATGTCACGTGACACAAGGGTTTACTCAAGGCCAGTTGTAAAAGAGTTGCTCCTAGTAGTACCATTGCATTTTTTTTTCTTTTGTAAAGAAAAATAGATATTGATTTTATTGTTCATCCTTGCTCCTTAGCATACGCGGATGAATTCAAAGAAATATGCCTTGACACAGTTGCATAACTAGGTTTAGTGCCAGGCGTGGCGAGTCAAGAGTTTTGCCCCTCCCCACCCCTTTTCCATTGTTTCCCATGAAAAAAATCTGCAGTTGTCCGAAAATGCCACCCTTACATATAAAGAAAGAAGTGCCTCGCAGGGAAAAACCGCTCTCTCCGCACCCCCCCCCCCTTCCTACTACGCCACTGCCTCGACGACGTGCTCTCGATTTTGTTTGAAGTGGCTGAGAGTTGTGCAGCTTGTCCTGACTTTCGGGATCCAGTGGCGAGCCATTAGTAGATACATAACATGGTTAAAGCTGACAGTTACTTGCTTTTCATCAGATTCGTGATCGTGCTGACTGCTGACTAAGAACGAGTCAATTATAAATATTTTCCTAAAACAGAGGACGCCTTTGTTCGGTATTAAAAAAATGATTTGAATCTATGTTTTTATAGCCGACACTTTCAATGGCGATTGGTTTCATAGTCCAGTGAGCGTGACGTGGAAGAAAATGCCATTACTATTATTCCTCTAATCCTGACCAAATATTGACAACACACTCGTGTGATGTAAAACAGTGGTTTGTAAACTCCGAACCAGCGTGCACGTGATGTTAAGCTTAAAGCCATCAAAGGAATCATTAACATAAAACATTTTCAAGGCAGTGTCAGGATATATTTTATGCCCCACCCCAAAAAAAAAAAAAAACAACAACAGAAAAACATTTGATGCCCTTTTGAAAATTTAAACTTTATTTGTAATACAATATATGCACGTGATGTTAAGCTTAAAGCCATCAAAGGAATTATTAACCTAAAAAATTTTCAAGGCAGTGTCAGGATATATTTTATGCCCCCCCCCAAAAAAAAAAAAAAACAACAACAGAAAAACATTTGATGCCCTTTTGAAAATTTAAACTTTATTTGTAATACAATATGACAAGGCACTCTTCCTTATTCAATGACATGTAGCGTATTATTTACGTAAGAGGTAAAGGTCCTTGGAAAAGGGAGACAACTGTGACTTCGTAAGGAAACAATTTCAAATATGCAGTCCAATGAGCTCAGCGCAATGGCGTGGCGAGAGGGCAGGAAGGATAACTCTCCGGGCAACAAATCCATTTTACATTAGGGTGACCAAATCATGAACTGGAAAAAACGGGAAACACCCAAGGAGGGTTTGGGGGATACCCTCCAGCTAAAGAGCGGTCCGGGGGCCTCCGCCGGAAACTGTTTATTGAAATATCTCATTTGAACTATTTTGAGACCTAGAAATCTTTTTAAATTTACCTTCACTTTTGTAATTTAATTTAAACTCTGAGACATCATTATCATAAACGAAAACAATAATTTTGCAGTGAATACTTATTTATTTATACATATTTTACAATATAATACAACACAACAAATAAATACAGCCATCACGCGAGCCCACATCAACACTGACACTGTCTACACAGGTAGGCAAAATATTACTTGAAGTTATATCATAAATTAGGAAAATGTATTTGGTTTTAGAAATGGGCTATTTAGTTGTCCCGAGAGACATTTTCGGGACACCGACTACGATCGTAAAAAAACAGGACAATCCCGTTTGGTCACCCTAATGTACATGTATGTCAAACGATTTACCCCAGTGTTTATTTCAGAAATTTTCCCCCCGGGGGTGGGGGGGGGATTTCAGATTTTCGGGGGGGGGGGTGCACTTCAGATTTTTAGGGGGGGGGGCAGATATAGCTGAAAGAAACCCTGTTCACCCCTATATACCATAACTACGTCACTGTACAAATGTGACTATTATTTAATCTACTTATTTTTAATGGTAATTATCCTTTTCTATTTCTATTGATCAGGAAATTGATATGTAGTTTGTTAGACAAAAGTTTTTTTCTTTCTTTTTTTGAATAATGTGTGTATAAATTATAAGGTAACTGTAGCCAACTCCCTGACCCTTGCAATGACAAGTTTGGACTCGGTAGTAAAATCGCAAAGAGTTTGTTGTGAGAGGGTACTACCTAGAATTTTAGACAACTTCACATTGTTTTGTGTGAAAGCAATGTCTAGAAAAATTTCGGTTGTCTCATTGTGGTTATTAATGAAACATCGGAAGTTGGAACAGGTTGGATAGAGAATGAACAGGTCAGAAAATTCAATTGATAATTTGCAAAGGTGCAACCAGATGTATTCACGAACTTTTAAAGTTGAACATAACGGCTAATTTTTTTTTCTAAGTTTCAGTTATTTATATGTTGAATCGAGTCTCTTTGAATCTTGTATTTCTTTTTTATATGTGAGGTTATGAGTTACGGTACTTAATGAAAATTGATGAATGGCCGGATGGATTTTCAGCCAATCTCAGAACATATTAACATGGAATTGTTATTTCTTTCATGCTTCTCTTGCATTGAATCGGGTCTTGTTAACGTTTTACATTTATGACAAATTGTGCACATTTCAAATTTTTCTTTAAAATTATTTTATAATTTAAAAAAAATTGAAACGATAAGTTCAAAATGTTTGCGGCGTCAGTCCATAGAAAGTCTATAGATCTTTGAGTTTGTCAGTCCATAGAAAGTCTATAGATCTTTGAGTTTGTCAGTCCATAGAAAGTTTATAGATCTTTGAGTTTGTCAGTCCATAGAAAGCTTACAGATCTTTGAGTTTGTCAGTCCATAGAAAGTTTATAGATCTTTGAGATTGTCAGTCCATAGAAAGCTTATAGATCTTTGAGTTTGTCAGTCCATAGAAAGTTTATAGATCTTTGAGTTTGTCAGTCCATAGAAAGCTTATAGATCTTTGAGTTTGTCAGTCCATAGAATGTCTACAGATCTTTGAGTTTGTCATGCCAAACATAGGATGATAAATTTAATTGTGGAAAAACTAAAACCACGGAAAGCTTGTTGTGCTCATGTGCACGCCGACACCAGATAGAGAAGCACTGACCATGTAGACTGTAGAGAAACTAAGATTTCCAACAAAAGTAAGAAATGTTTCACTTTCCTGATATAAATACTCTGCAATTTATTTATTTATTTATGAATATTTATATATGTGATCACCTGACATTGTGATAAGAGTGTGAAAAATCACAGAAATGTACCTATTTTTTTAATTTATTTATTTGTTAAAATACTTAAATGCACAAATCTCTGATAGTAAAGATACACTGATTTGTTGGAGTCTGCAGTGCTTATAATAAATAATAATTTTAGTGCCTCACATAATTGTTGTTGTTTTTTTTATGATCACTTCATTTTAATTTTTTATATAAATAATAGCAGAGACACAACATTGTTGAGAACTTAACATCTGTGGGAGACATAAGTGTTTATAGTTGAATGGTAAAATCTATATCAAAGTTTGACAACCAGCTTTTTCATTGGTGTAACACATTAGAAGCTAAAGTTAAACATATTAATATTAGAAAAAAAGAAGTTCCTAAAAAAAAGAACTGAATGCAGTTTTTTTTAAATTATTCCTTTTTATTTTTTAACTACAAAGTCCATTTTCTGTTACAAACAAGAGAGGGAAAAATTTCAAATTTGACCATTTCTTTTGTTAACAGCAAACAACATTATGTAATCGTGATCTTTAAATATCTCAAAAATCTGTAATTTGATTAGGAGTAATCTATGGGGAAAATTAAATAGTACATACAAAACATTCACAATTTAAGGCAATAAAGTTTAGCCAATCACAACTTAAACAGTGCAATCAAACACTTTAGTTGCTGTGACATTCAACATTACTTGTCAGCACAAGCCAGAGGGCTACAACTGCTTCTTAATGGCCGTGCTTGCAGTGACAACAAATAAGTGGCTGCTAAGCCACTACCAGAGGCTTTCATAATTTTAACTTACATCAGAAGTTTTTTTGACAAATGTGTTACCGTTATGTGTAACATAATACATTGAACTCTTTCTTGTTGACATAAAACTCTCAATGGAAGAATTACAAATTAAACAAGAACTAATGAGCATAAAGGCTCCAGGTTTCTAGAAGAAGTCTTCAAACAAACAAGAATTTTGGTAAGAGAGAAACTTGTAAGTTATCTGTCTTTGAAATATTCTTTAGATCCTTCGGGTGTTGGCTTGATAGTTGGAGAATCTGGCTTCCAATTGGCTGGACATACTGAAATGGTCAAAGAATTTTAGAAATTATTTTTTTCAATACCTATAAGTTAGCATTCTTATCAAGTCATTGAGTGATTTAATTTTAACCTTCAATATTGTATAAAATAAAATTACATAAACAAATATAGGGAGTTCTTTATTCAAATTGCAAAGAGTTTTAAACTAATAAGTTGAAAATGTAGTTGTCCACCAGCATGTAGTAAACTAATTAGCTAAGCTGTTAAGTAACGTTTTAAGGTTACATTAAAGAGGCTTTGATCCTTTTGGATCATAAAATTAAAAGAAAATAAGTACCCATTCAATAAACCTGTTACTAATATTATGCTATTATTGTGTAACTGTACAGGTGGAAAGGTAAAGTTTTTTAAAATATTCAAAAGACTTCATTTTTTTTAATAAATACATAATAATTTAACAAATAATAAGTTAAGCAAAAACCAACAAGTAGACAGCACACAATAACATTACATGAAAATGCCCTACCTTCACCAGATATATCAGTAAATTTGAAGGCTTCAATCAGTCTAATTACTTCATCAACAGAACGACCAACAGGCAGGTCATTTATTGTAATTTGTCTGACAATCCCTTTAGGATCTATAATAAAAAGGCCTCTGCAAATAAAAATGTTTTTAAAAAATTTACTAAGCCATATCACTATCATGCAGGCACAAAGACTTGAAAATAAATGAAAAGTTGTTGATGAAAAGCATCAAAAGAAGCAAACAGACACAGCAGTCTAAAAAGATTAATCTTGGAGGGATATGTAACAAGAAGGAGGAAAAGACAGTGTCCAGGAAGGTGTATTACTAAAGACATCAAAATACTACATCAAAACATGACACTGGAGGAAGCAGGGCGGCTGACACAAGGGCTGTTGAGATGCTAAAGTAACAGTGAGGACAACCTTCTGAAGAGCTCAAACCAAGTAAAATAAGCTACAGATTGATCATAACAACTATTTATCTACTTTAGTGACACTTAAAAACCTATGTGTCATTCCAAAAGTAAAATAATGCTGTGAACAATGAAATTAAAGTATTGGCTAAAAGTTTTATTTACCTCAAAGCAAGACCAGCGTCTTCAATTAATACTTCATAATCCCTGCTAATGGTTTTGTTGAAGTCAGATAAAAGTGGATATTTCAATCCTCCTAAACCACCTTGCTGAAAAAACATAATGAAATAATGTTGATTCCAATCAATTTACTTTTAATATGCCTACGCCTTTCGCATGTTAAAAATGTGCTTTTTATGTTGTAACAAATTTTAAAAAATAATTTTGCGTAATAGTGATAGGAACCATTATGTTTGGTCCAACCTTTCTTGGAGTATTGATCCAGGCCAAGTGGCTGAAATGTGAATCAGTTGATACTCCTATGACAGCAGTGTCCAGTTTTTTAAATCTGTCAATGTTATCGCTGAAGGCAATTATTTCAGTTGGACACACAAAAGTACTGTTGGATTTCAAAACGAAATATTATTTGTATTGTTTTTAATCAACAGAAGAGTTGTCAAATTGCAAAGAAAATTTGTGACACCAAAAAAAAAAAAAACATTAAAAAAAAACTCTTTTGAAAGGTTATTTTTTAATTATTATGTGAAATAATATTAATTCTTATGTCACTACATACATAGAATTCAAAAAGAAAAATTAATTGTATTGTTTTTAAACAAAAAAAAAATTGTAAAAATGCAAAGAAAATTTGGTAAAACAAAAAAAAAAAACATTAAAAAAAAACTCTTTTGAAAGGTTATTTTTTAATTATTATGTGAAATAATATTAATTCTTATGTCACTACATACATTTTACATCAGGGAAAGTGTAGCAATTAAAATTAAAACATAAAAGCTAAATAAAAAAGTTTTAGTTATAAATAAAATGAAATTTTATTCTTCAGTTAATTTTCAAAAGAAAAGACTCTTTGAAAGCACCCAACAACACAGGCCTAATTAAATTCCAATTTTATATATGCTTTTCATTAAAATAACTGTCTTTGTTTAAATAATAAATAATTTGACTGAAGAAAAATGCTACATATTAAAGAGTGATAAGCAATAACTTACAAATCCAATGGATAGAAGAAAAGCACAAGGTACTTTCCTTTAAAATCTGAAAGCTTAATTTCTTTAAATGCACCATCCACTACCGCCTGGCCCTTAAAATCTGGAGCAGGATTTTGTACTTTGGCAGGTGACAGCAATTTAGAACCTTATGAAACAATAATAGAATTATACTAAAAATACTCAACAATTTTGAGTGAACAAAAGTATTTAAATAAAAAAATGTTGCCAGTGGAGAAACATACATGTTATTTGGAGTCTTCATATTATACAAAAATTTATGGAAGCAATAGCCAAATGATAGTAAATTCAAAGGGCTTAATAATTATATTTAGCTCAAACAATGTTTTAATTACCTGTTGAAAAATGGCATAAGGCTGATCCTTGACTGTCAGAATCAATTCTTGTACATCTGTTACTTTGAGGGGCTAATATTCGTACAGCAGTTCTTGCAAAATAAGACTGATGGATATAAAATTATATGATCATAGTCTAATGATTTCAAGTTTAAAAATAAATATTCTTGTGACTCTGAGCGAATTTATAACAAAGCTGAACCTATAAAGCTCTGACCAATCATTCTATTTTAAATAGCTGCAGTGGTTGTAACTCTGAATCAATTATAATTTTTTTCGAATAAATCATTAATGTTTTTAAAATTGCATTATAATATTCATCCTAATCATAGTGTAAAGTGGTTTTATGATTAGGTCTACTTTCAGCCTATGTACTATAGCACTAAAAGTAAAAATAATCGGCTTATTTTACTACTAATTAATAAGGATAGGCCCAACTTTAAAAAAAAAAAATACAACCAATCGTTTTTCTCGTTCATATTCACTGCCAGATCTTCATTAGAGAGGGCTAAAACGCCCAAACCCGAAAATTTATTAATGTTTTTAAATGGGGGAAAAAAAATTTTCCACCGGGTCTCTGAAAATTGTAGTTTTGGCGGGTCTTGGCGTACAATCGTAAAAGACATCTAAAAATCGTACATTGTACGCCAAAATCGTAAGAGTAAACAGGTCTGCTAATATACATGGGTGGTCAAGTGGTGTACACTGAGTCAAAAAAAGAAACTTGTGGTCTGGAGTTCAATCCCCAATAAAGGCCAAGTCAAGCAAAGACATCACTAGCAACCCTGATGGATGGGACCCATTAACCTTGGATGGCAACTCATCTAAGAGGAGGAAATTCTGAATCAAAACTCAAAGAAGAAGTCTCGTAGGAGGATACATAAATACAATGAAAAAATCTGACAACTAATGTGAGGCAACTGGTGCCAAGCTGTATCATCTTTATATGGTGCTCCTTTGGGTTAAGCAGGTGTGCGGAGAGGCGATTCGCTGTCTAGGGAAAAAGCTTCAAGTGTTAAAGAAAACAAACCCCGGGCCTAGTGATTTTGTCCAGCAAAGTCTACACCATAGTTAAATTGTGATGGAAATGTGTGTCATTAAAAATTACAAGTAAACTTGTGGGATCAAAAAACTGTACAAAAAGTACATAAAAAAAACTTCACATCAGCATGAAAAACTGTACAGAAAAATCAAAAGCTCAAAAAAGTAAAATTTATAATGTTTTCATTAAATTGACAATGTTTTGAATGCATGTCTTTTAACTGAGCCTCCTTCATAATTTCTTGATCAGTTTGAAAACCCCCCAAAAATTGCAATTTTTCATTTTACAATGTAAAATATTATATTTACATGTAAGAGCAATGAATTTTGGAAATAAGAAAGCATCCCATTTAACTTTATCTGATATAATTTCTGCATGATGTTGATGGGGCTGAGAAAAGAAGGATTTAATTGTCTACTGAGGTAATAAACTCCTTGATTGCATCAAAGTTTTGTTTGTGCAATTATGTTTTAAAATGTGATTCTATTTCATAAAAGCTTGAAGCAAGCAATTAAATTTCTTTCTTTTTTTGCATAAGGTATGAGATGATCCCATTGATAAAGCATATATAATACCAGGACATTGGACAAGCCACTCACTTAGTGTAAGAAAATCCCCCCAATACATGTCTTATTTCAACTTTCTTTAAAAAAAAATATATGTTCACCCACTTAAATGGAAGTTTCCAGCTGGAGTAAAATAATAAATAAGGGGGCGTATTAATATTTTAAAAAAAAAGAAAAGTTAACTCTAGTAACACTCCAAGAATAAACAAAAGGGAGAGCATCCTTCACAGAAACTCGAAGAGGCGCTGATTGCATAAAGTGTCCATATATTTAATTATTTAATACAAATTAAAAGAACACTAATTACTGACTATGCAGTTTGTGCTAAGATTATTACATAAACTGATTTGTAATTATGGTTTATTACTAAAATTAAAAGCAGCTACTATCGTCAGGATTCCAGTAATAGCTACCGGTACTGGGTATATTACATGGGTACTGGCAGAACCTTGCTAAGTTTCTAAGTTTATATCGCTTACTGATCCAATATTAGGCCCAGGGACATTTTGCACAGAACATATAGGATTTAACCTTCATTTTGTACTATAATGCATTTGTAATGCAAAAAAAATTAAAATATAACCATTTAAGGTTTTGGGTCTTAAATTGATCGATTGTTTTACATTGAAATATCCTGTGAAATAGCCGCATTTTTATTTCTGTTGAACCTTGTACTCAATTAATTTTGATAAAAACGAATGGCAATCTTCATTCTAATAAATTTCATATTAACTGTACCAAGCATCAGATTTAGTTTATGATTTGAATAATGTTCAGTGAATAACAGGAAAGCTATCAAACTAATCGTTCAGGTCCAAATATTAGTCTGTTCACATTCACCCCAAGTCCAGTGTTGGCATTCCCAAAGTGACATCACTGTGAAAATACTTTGCAAAACCCAAGCTGCTATTCGCCAATAAACTTTAAGGGAATGTAAAAAAAAAAAACACACATAGACACCATAAAATTTATATAGCTTTACTTTAACACTTAGAACTTTAATTAAAAGTAAAGAGCCCCTGTGTTCTTAAATTAAACCCCCTTTCCTCACACTCACCCATGAAATGCTACCCCACAGGTTGGGGAAACCTTATTTAAACTAACAGTAAATTCAGACAATCCACGCCATGATGAAATGATAATGATGTCATAATAAATGATAATAATATATATCATGGCACAGATTGTATGAATTGACCAAACTAACTCTACTTATTACGGTAATCTTGCAGTTCAGGTGTGTATATTATTTCTGATCGAATTTTGTATTATGGCATGTAAACTTACATGTGTTCTTTATAAAATTTAGTCCAGACAGTATTAGTTAACACTAACACTAAATTGTACAGCACTATCTTTTATTTTTATTGACTTTTGGCTTAATATCTGAAGGATACCGTAACTTAATAACAAGCTTTATCAATTGGTGCAATAAAAATTTTCTCCAGTTGAATATCTCAAAAACAAAAGAAATGGTTGTTGAAACACCTGAAGGGTTCAAGGGAAAAACCAGTGATGTCAGTTTTTCAAAATTTCTATTTTATCTCCCTTGTGGCTACATTGCATTTAATAGAATAATATGATGCATAGGTCCAACCGAAAAAGAAGCGTTGTCAATAAATAAATACGTAGACATCTTGATATTTTCATACTTTTTTAGGAATTTTCAAACTTAAAATTCAATTTTCTCAAAACTCTCAAAACCTGACATCTCTGGTTTTTCCCTTGAGCCCTTCACCTGATTACAGATATCAACATAAAAAATCAAAATATGGAGAAAGTGGAGGCGTACAAGTACTTAGGTGTCACCATTAATAATAAGCTAACATGGCATGAGCACGGCCAAATCCTGTATAAGAAATTCAACCAAAGACTGTTCTACCTCAAAAAACTGTACAATTTTGGCGTAAACAAGCAAGTCGTTAACTTATTCTACAGTAAAACTATTGGAAGCCTGCTTAATTTCAGTATTATCTGCTGGTCTGATATTAAACACTGCATAAACCGACTAATCAAGAAAGCTAGAAACATAACACACATTAAACATCCTTCACTTGAAGAACTATTTGAACACTTGAAGAACTATTTGAAGAAAGATGTTTTTGCAAAACTAAACACATTTTGGATGATACATCCCACCCTCTTCATCCTAGATACTTAGGATCGGGTCGTTCGGGACAAATTCTTTCCATCAGGGCGAGAACTGATCGATATAAAAATTCTTTTGTTCCCCAATCTGTATGAATTTACCGGCGTGCTTCTTCTGAAGTCACGCATCTGAATGAGAACTAATAAGTCCCTGATTTTGCTAAGAGAACTCACTGAATGGCTGTTTGAAATAATTTATTATAAATGTCTTGCGTTCAAATTGTTTTATTTTTGTGCTGAAAATGTATAATGCAATCAAAAAACATTTCCATTTATTTGGATCATTAAAATTAAAAGAATCTTATCTTATCTTTATAGCCCCCATTGGTACATAACCAGTAGCGTAAATGATCTCTCTATTTTCTTGTTTTTTTTTAACTTTACCTTACATGCCAGATTGCAATTTATCAACTGAAGGCTTATTTACAAAAAATTAAACAAGAAATTAAATATATATTAAATTATACCAAAATTATTTATTGATGCTTAACTTTTCAAACTAAAAGCATGTTCACAAAATAAATTTATATAAAATTATATTACTATATTCATTAAAGTTAGCAAAAATAAAACAGAAATCAGAAATATATCATGCTGTTAGAGAATGTAGGCCTAAATAAAACATTTATTAAATCAGAAATATTGAAGTACGTAAATAAAACAGTTATTATATCAGACGTATTGGAGAATGTAAATAAAAAACAGGTTATCATAATTTCAAACTGGTTTACGATCCGTGGTGATCTTTAAGAATGTCACAAACATATCCTGATCGCTGAACTTGTTTCTGAACACAAATTCGTGTAGATATGACTGGAACAATTCACGTGATTTCGAAATTGAAGGCGACGTTTGCGTTGCGCTCGTATCCACATATTCTCCACGTTTTCGGTGTGAACATCGTTATCAGCAGGATCAACAAAGTTCTGTTGATGGACGATAACATCGTGCATGTAAATGCCATTGGCGATGCGGTCAATCTGCGCATATGCCGCCCAGCCATCAGACATGATATGTGTACCCGGGAGGATATATTGTTGACTCAACGGCTCCAGTGTAGCAGCTGTGCGGTCCGGAACTTCGATGAGAAAGCATTTACCCGTGCCGCGTTCAATGCCGCCAAACACTCAGTGGCCATCTCGCCACTGGCCACGGTGGTATTTGCGATGAAAGTACTTGGACTCTCCCCCCCCCCCCCCCCCCCCCAGTATTTCATTCTTTTTGTGAACATGCCTAGAATTTGAAAATTTCGTTTAGCATACCAACTTATAGGTTATCACAAATCTGGCAAAAGGGTGAAAAATACAAAACAAATGGAGCTATGGAAGGTTGGGGAATGTTCAATGACGCTTTAGAAATAAAATAAAACGAAAATAAGCCCTGTACTGTCGTACAGTTCAGTAACTCTTAGTATTTGTATAAGTTAACTGTCACTGCCTGGATTTAATTTAATGAAGAATACACTTAAGTTTACAAATGATAATACGAAATTCTATCAGAAATAATATACACACCTGAACAGCAAGATTACCCTAATTACTAAGCCAAAGTCTTTAAAAACCTATTAAAAACGCCCAAGGTTGACTAGCGAGAAAGACGTAAGTCCGAACTATCGGCCCGATAAATCGAGCCTCACCAATTGGCTGGCTTGGCATTGTACCAGCGAATCAAAATTATTCTTACATATTCCTGCACATCCCGGCATTGTAATGGCAGCGTTCGTTCAAGGTGAACTCAATTTATGCAATTTTTTTTTGGGTGTGTAGTTACATCGTGAAATTCGAACATGTCTGACAGTGACTCTGATCAAACTGTGCTTAGTGATTTTGATATTCTAGCAGTGAATCTGACACTGAAACTGATGAAAACAAAGAGGAAATTAATGAAGACTTTCAAATTGAGGGTAATGCTAATGTTGTGAACTTTTGGTGTAGTATTACTAGTATTAGGGGTCCTCAAATGGACAGAGATGACCCCTCTGAATTTTCAGACCACATAAGTCCTATAAGTAAGGCACAAGCACCACATTTTAGTACTTTATGCTATTTTTTTACACTAAATATCACTCAAATGTTTATGAGAGAGACCAATAGATATGCAGAAAACTTTCTCAGCAACATTCAGCTTAGGCTTAAGAGAAGGTCCCTAGGTCATAAATGGGGGCGGGGCCTGTTACAGTGTGTCTGTAACAACTGAAAAATAGGGGGGGGGGGTGGAAAAAGGAGTAGAACCATGTGCCAGATGTATCTGAAGAGCTTCCATGGGCCTTTTCTTCCAAAAACATAAGTGTTAGGACTTATTCAGACTTCATCCATCAAAAAATTCACACAATTGATACAAGTAAGTCATGTTTAATCTAGGTGTAACAAAAAATTACATATTACGTGCATAAATTATGCAAATTAGGGTAGCTCATTTGCATAAATTTTGATATTTCAGTTTAATTCATAATGATTGTATTAGTTCATTCAATTTCCTACAAGAATATATATAGTTTTACATATATTATTAAGGGAATAGTTTATTTTTTATAAATTTTTTTCCAATGCGAGTGGCGAGCTCGTAAAAAGGCCTCCGTCTTTTTGGCACATACACCCCGAAAAGGCTACGTCTAAGTCTAAGGCACTTTTTATTAATTTATTAAGTTTATTTTTAATTTTATTTTAATGGGCTAAATTGTAGAGATAACTTCCACTTGGCCTAGACCGTACTAGACGGATATGTAATTATTTATAGTTAGTTTTTTATTAACAACTAATGTGATGATATTTGAACTTTACCAAAATGGGGACCCGGTATATCCTTGCTGCCGCAGAAAACATGTCTTGGATTGATTGTACAGATTTCAGCAGTGCTCCAAGCTCTTTTAGAAGCGTATTTTTTATAATTTTCTTTCGAAGAATATCGACAAAGTCGTATTTCCGTGACTTTAGAAAAATAGTAGAAAATTAATATCGCAAAATAATGTTTAATTAAAACTTAACCTACTGATGCAGTTGTGGCATGTAGATTGCTTTCCGTGTGATTTGTGAATATGTTAAAATTGACGTAATAAGATATATATTCAGAGGCGTGTTTGGCGCCCGGGTACAAGATACGCGCCCGGGGACAAGATCAATTTTAAAGCGCCCCTTCTCTTTTTTTTTCAACTCTCATTATTGCAACCCATTATTTTTACCAATAATATAACATATAGGCACATTTTGGCGCCCCTAACTAGGTACTTTGACAAAAAAATTTAATATTTTCCAATAGCCACAAATGAAACACCATTTTAAAAGGCTAGCTATAAGCTTTACAACAACACCAATTTCATCTTTCTATCTTTTATGGGGGAAAAGTTATGATTTTTTTTTTGGTGAATTTTTTAACCCCCCTTATTTATCTTTGTATTTAACGAAAAAAACTAGTCACCAACTTTCCACATTTCTGCTTTATTTTGTCCACAACTTTTTTATTTTAAAAGATAATGCTACCAAATTTTCAGGAGACATTCTCAATGCAATATACAACACAATAAACAACACAAATTTTATATAACATCAAGACTTTTATTTTTTTTATATATTTATGAGGGTTTGTTCAGAAAAAAGTGAATAGAAAATTTGGGAAAATCATTATTCATACAGGAAAAAAACGAAAAAAACAACATGTATATTGAATTTTAACTAATTTTATTATGCTTGTGTTAAATTTTAAATCAATTTATTTTATTTGTTAAAGGGTAAGTAAGTCTTTTTTATATATAAAATTGAATGCATGTAATTATAAATAAAAATTACTCAAATAAAATCATCCATGATGATGAGACAAATCTAACTATCTGGCGCCCGGGGACATCTGCCCCCCTGCCCCCTCACTACGCCTCTGTATATATTTAATTTTTTTATCTAGGTAATGGTAATTTGAAAATTGATAAGGCATTTTCATTGATGTTTTGTGTTAAAATCGTTTTCAAAAACTTTATTGAATGGAATACCACTGGACCTGACTGAGGCACCCAAGAATAAAGATGGGGACCGAGCCAGAGTAATTAACACTGTCTTGATGGGTTTTAGAGTTGAAAAAAAGAAAAGGGGGCGCTTTAAAATGGATCTTGTCCCCGGGCGCGAATCTTGTCCCCGGGTGCCAAACACCCTCGCTACGCCTCTGGAGTGATTGTTTTGTAAGTATGGATTCATCAAGTGATTTTATTTGGTTTCAAAATGTTTATTTTATTTTAATAAATGATATTAGAACAAACAATCTAGGCCAGTTCCAGTCTTTTCGGGCTCAGTGTTAATGAAATAACTTAAAATTAAAAGTACTGTAGAGCAGCGTTTCCCAAACTTTTAAGTTTCACGGACCGGTGGACAAGTTTCGAAACTGCACCAGGGACCGGTGCCAGATTTATTAATTATATTTATTTTCTATTTAAACATCAATATTCATGCTCTCCGGATCGGTAACGTAAGGCTTGCGGACCGGTGCCGGTCCACCGTTTGGGGAACGTTGCTGTAGAGCAGGGCTACCACACCTTGGGAAATTTCCCAAGATCTTGGGAATTCACGACCCCCCTTGGGATCTGGGGAATAATTTTGAAAATCAGGCAAAACCTTGGGAAATCTTAACTGGGGGGAAATTTTATTATAATTTTCGAAAAAAACCCAACCAATATGTGATAAAAAATAAAGTGAAAATAAAGCAAAATAATTTTTAAAGTAGCAAGGCAAAAAATAAATTGTTTTAATTTTCTTTTCTGGTTTAAATTTTTAAATCCACTTATCAAATAAATAAAAACTCTTCTGATATTAAAGTTAATATTATTGTGAATTGTTAAAAAGTTAATAATTAAAGAAAAATTCAATTTTCAATTTTTTTTTTTTTTTTTTAAATTGAAGATTTACAAATTACATCCAAGTTTTGAATGTTTATTAAATGGGAAAGGGGGGGGGGGGGTAGGCTCGGAAACTTTATCATTTGGCTATTAGACATTAGCAACCATATGAAAAACAGTACAAACCGAAGAGTGAACGTCAGTGTTCAATCAAGAATCCATGACATCGTAAAATTTGATTATTTCAATTACTTCTACAATGCATTCAAAATATAATCCATCTGTAAAAAATCCAGCCTAATTTTCATCAATTGGAAAAAAAATATTTGTGGATCGAAACACAGGTAACTAAGATATTAAAAGTATAGGCCTACGTTGTAGTATTATAAATGAACAATACCTTCAAAGGTATTCTTTTTTTTTTTGTTAAAAAAATCGTTATAATGTAAATTTACAAGTAAAAAATAAAAATACTTATTGTTTCCATAATAATATCAATCCATTTTAACTACAATTATTATTAATAAATTTTGCTTAATTGCTTTGCAAACCCCACTTCTAATCAACATATTTACAATAAGAAAAATCATTTTTTGATGAAGAGCCTTTTGCCCTTGTAAAAGGAATTTTGTGTTGATTAGCCTTGTAAGCTTTGTTTCCAAGTGACTTCTATTGTGACTTCAAGCGACAAGTATTGTTGATATTTTTACCAGAGAATTCGGAGGTAATTTACTAACCTAACTCCAGTGGGTATTGATATTTTGGATTATAAATTAATTTTTTTTAAACAAATTGTTTCTTTTAAGTGATTAAAAAAAAATTAAATGTCTTTTTCAATAAATTTCAGTTAATTAATGTACCATGTTTTTCAGGGGCATTAATTCAAACTATTATTACATTAATTACATAGAAAAAACCCTTAAAAAAAACAAAAACTTATGTAATTTTTATGATCTTGGGAAATCTTGGGAAATTCGTTCACCAAATCTTGGGAAATTTAAAAAAAGTGAGTGGCAGCCCTGCTTCCAGCCATGATTGGTGTCACTGGCAGGGCTACCACACCTTGGGAAATTTCCCAAGATCTTGGGAATTCACGACCCCCCTGGGATCTGGGGAATAATTTTGAAAATCAGTCAAAACCTTGGGAAATCTTAACTGGAGGGAAAATTTTGTTATATTTTTCGAAAAACGCAAGAATATCTGATAAAAAATAAAGTGAAAATAAAGCAAAATAATTTTTAAAGTAACGAGGCAAAAAAATAATTGTTTTCATTTTCTTTTCTGGTTTTAATTTTTAAATCCACTAATAAAATAAATAAAAATTCTTCTGATATAAAGTTAATATTGTGAATTATTAAAAAGTTAATAATTAAAAAAAAAATCAATTTTCTCTTTTTTAAAAAAAAATTTTTTTGAAGATTTACAAATTACATCCAGGTTTTGAATGTTTATTAAATGGGGGGGGGGTGTTAGGCTCGGGAACTTTATCATTATTTCCTCTCGTATTTCTCGCTGAACCTCAACCCTGAATCATCTCTTTATAGCAGTTGTGTGTGTGAGAGAGTGTGTGAGAGACAGTGCGCCGCGAGAAATGGTCCCCTCCCAGAGCGTACACCAGGCGATCATGACACACTTTAACGGCAGCTTAGAACTTCTAATTGTTCCTGTCGTCCGGGGGCAAGCGAGAGCCATGTGAAATACGGACAGGAATGAACTAAAATATATGCTTGGAATTAGGCGTCACCTGGTGGCGGTTAGCCTGTGATATTTACCTGTTTCTTTTTTTTTAATTGAATTATCGGTTAGATTTCTTTAAAATATTTTTTTTTTTAAAATTATGTCCAATTTTGAAACTATTAATTTCAATTCATTCTTCTGGAGATTCACTTGAGCATTCTCTTTATAGGACGATATTAGTATACACATTTTTATTTTATTTATAAATGAGGTTAAAAAATCTGGTCATCGGAAAAGGTTGGCCACGGTAGACAAGGGAGGTCACTTCCGTGTCACGTTCCCGCGTAGTCAGGGCTACCACACCTTGGGAAATTTCCCAAGATCTTGGGAATTCACGACCCCCCTTGGGATCTGGGGAATAATTTTGAAAATCAGTCAAACCCTTGGGAAATCTTAACTGGAGGGAAAATTTTGTTTTATTTTTCGAAAAACGCAAGAATATCTGATAAAAAATAAAGTAAAAATAAAGCAAAATAATTTTTAAAGTAACGAGGCAAAAAAATAATTGTTTTCATTTTCTTTTCTGGTTTTAATTTTTAAATCCACTAATAAAATAAATAAAAATTCTTCTGATATTAAAGTTAATATTGTGAATTATTAAAAAGTTAATAATTAAAAAAAAATTAATTTTTTTTTTTTTAAAAAAAAATTTTTTTGAAAATTTACAAATTACATCCAGGTTTTGAATGTTTATTAAATGGGGGGGGGGGGTGTTAGGCTCGGGAACTTTATCATTATGCTCTTAGACATTAGCAACCATACGAAAAACAGTAAAAGCCAAAGAGTGAACGATAGTGTTCAATCAAGAATCCATGCCATAGTAAAATTTGATTATTTCAATTACTTCTACAATGTGTTCAAAATATAATGCATCTGTAAAAAATCGAGCCTAATTTTCATCAATTAGAAAAAATATTTGTGGATTGTAACACAGGTAACTAAGATATTAATAGTATAGGCCTACGTTTTAGTTTTAGGATTATAAATGAACAATTCCTTTAAAAGTATTTTTTTGGGGGGTGAAAAACTCGTTATAATGTAAATTTACAAGAAAAAATAAAAATACTTATTGTTTTCATCATAATTTCAATCCATTTTAACTACAATTATTATTAATAAATTTTGCTTAATTGCTTTGCAAACCCCACTTCTAATCAACAGATTTACAATAATAAAAAATCATTTTTTGATGAAGAACCTTTTGCCTTTGTAAAAGAAATTCTGTGTTGATTAGCCTTGTATGCTTTTTTTCCAAGTGACTCCTAATACACATGTATTGTAGATGATATTTTTACCAGAGAATTCGGAGGTAATATTTAGTAGCCTAACTCCAGTGAGGACCAGTGGGTATTGATATTTTGGATTATAAATTATTTAAAAAAAAACAAATTGTTTTTTTTAAATGTGATTAACATGTTTTAAATGTCTTTTTCAATAAATTTCAGTCAATTAAAGTACCATGTTTTTCAGGGGCATTGATTCAATCTATTATTACATTAATTACATAGAAAACCCCCCTTTTTAAAAAAAACTCTATTATATTTTTATGATCTTGGGAAATCTTGGGAAATTCGTTCACCAAATCTTGGGAAATTTAAAAAAAGTGAGTGGCAGCCCTGCTGTAGAGTAGAGGAATGAGGAGGAATCCGTATATCAAAAACTTAAACCTTTAATTATTTGGGAATCTAATCGTTCTACTTAGGCTTAAACTTATCATATTTTCAGATAGTTTTTAAATAATCTTTTTTAAATTTAGAATAAAATTTTATTTAATATGATTGCTGAAGCTTTTTGAAAATGTTCTTGTCATTCGTAGTGTGGTAACAAGGGGGAGACACTGCAATCAGGTTTGTTTTGTAAAGTTTGAAAGTGACACACTTCCGCTATTGAGTCACAAAACAAATTAGATGGTGAATTGTTGAATAATAAAGTATGAAACAGATACTATATTTATTTACTTGATTCTGGCTTCAGTACTACACATAGTGTAGGGCTACATTGTTTGATTGTAAGTTGACGTGGAAACGATGACACATTTTTTCTATAAATATATAATATTAATATATGGACAAAACACTGCTTTTGATTTTGCTAAAAATAAATTGTAAAATAACCCAGACTCCGGACTTCAATATATAAATTATATATATTTCCTATACTACTGACTACTTATCTCATATTTAGAAAGCAGGACTCCGTTATCTAAATAAAGTGAATTTAGTGATATTTTGGTAAATTTGTGTTATAAGTTGGGCCCTATATTACTTATTTAAGTTTTTATTGTTTGAGTAGCCTACTAAGTAGTGTAGTCAGTGTGTTAAAATTTATCAGACTCCTACCTACTCAAGTTAAATTCCACCAAGTTTAGTTAGTAGTAGTAGGTACAAAATGAGTATATGAAGATGTAGTGCTTGATTATAATTATTCTACTTAGTACAGTGTGGTAGTGGTAGGTTATATTAGAAATAAAGGAGCTTAAGTTTCAATAAGAAATTTGAAATATTAAGTTATTTGGCTAAATTAGAGTAATATTAATACTGAAAGTAGGGCTAGGCTAATTAAACTTATTATTATTATTATAAAACATAACTTTACTTGGCTACTATCTATCGTACTCTTCAGTATCAATACTCAAAAGCTTTAATTTTATATTATTATTAATAGTTAAGCCATAGGCATTGTCTATCCTACAATCTACGCTAGAATTGAAATTTAGGCTTAGGCCTAAGGCTAATTGATAGTTCGAAGAGACTGGATGGGGTGAGTTGAGCCCTATAAATAATTGTGGATCCTCAGTTCAATTTGTTATTGTCGCAATGCTCATGTGTACAACAAACAAAATTTCCTGTTTTTCCAGTAAAAAAAGACAAACTCAAATATTTTATAGTTTGAAAAAAAATTCATAGATCAAAAACTACTTAAGCTAGTTAATTTTTGATTATTTTTTCCATAAAACTTTATAATTTATAAAATTAATTAAAAAAATTTTGTCAAGGCTAAGGCTAAGGCTACATTCAATGAATTATCCCAATATGTGTGGACAGAAGCATTGTGCCCCACCTATAGCAAATTATACCTAGGACGCTTTGCGTACTACCCATCACAAATTATGCATTCTGTGCATCTCACCCTACCCATCATTGACCATTTAGTTTTTCTAGGGCTTACTGAATTTAATGGTCATTAGGGCAGTGAACCAGTTGTCAAATAGCCTAGTTTAGGCCAAAGTTAAACTTTAGTTAGGGGGTCATCCATAAATGTTGTCATGCATCTAGCGGGGAGAGATGTCACTTATTTGTGATGATCTATTATGAGGTTGTCTAAATTGGGTGACAAATCTGTGATTATGGTGGAGGGGTAAAAAATTGTCCAAAATAGTGTGAAATCATTTATGGATGGCCCTTAAGTCTTAAGTTTAGTTAAGAAATTATAAAATAGACCCTAGGGCTAAGGCTAATTGAATAGTCCCAAACCCAAGTAATCACAGATTTTAAATTCAGTTATGACACTCCAGAAATAAGACTTTACTAAATTTGTCCAATAATTTTTTTAAAAAACTTTTGGGCTTAGACCAGGGCCAACTTACTATGCTGTACACTGGCATAAGTTACTGTGTGTACTTATTATTAATAATATTAATAATCGAAATCTGTAAGCCTTAGTCTAATTTATTTTTTCTTTCTGTGTTAAAAAGATAGTTTTTGTTATTATATATAGCCTAGCCACGGGGCAGACTAGTATAATTATTAGTTCATTAAAGAGAATAGTAAACCATAGAAAAAGATTAAGGCTTATTGTGCCCATTTTTAAATTCAATTATTTTGATAAATTGTATTAATGTACCGGTACTGTAAGTCTTAATATTTAACTTGAATATACTAAACTTGACAGAATTGAAGAACCTTGTAGAGTCTTGCTTCATAAAGGAAAGTCTTGTCTTAACACTTGGGATTTAGCAGTGTTAAAACGCAAAATATTGGTAAGCCAGTTAACTCCTTTAAATTTGGCTTCACCGAATAGGTAGTCTTTATTCAGTCCATCACTGGGCTTATCTTAAAATGTTTCTCATTTAATAGATTTACATTAGTGCAGGCCTGCACAACATGCGGCCTGCCAGCACCCACTTGGCGGCCCGAGAAGTAACGAAAAATTCTTTATTATTATTATTTTCTTAATAGCTTTCTCCCCATGCTATTATGTTTCGGCCCGCACAAGTTTTTTTATAAAGTATTACGGCCCGCACACATTTTTCATAAAGTATTAAGGCCCACCTTACATTTTGAGTTGTGCAGGCCTGCATTATTGTATTTAATTTAACTTATTAATGTAGAGCCAGCAGTCTAAAAACTATTTGATAAAGTAGCTACATTTGTGGTGAGTGTGAGTTATAAGTAAAATTTGCCAGACTATAATTTATAATGATATTAAAACCCAAGAATTTATGCAATTTAAATGTAAATTAAATAATAATTAGTTTGTCATTTTGCTTAGGTATGATTTTTTCCATTGAGTAGTGTAATGATAGTTACTTAACCTCATCTACCTAGTATATTATTAATTCAATTAGGTTATATTATATTATACAACTAATAACATGTTCATTTATGCTTTGTTTTATTCATTTAATTTCAGTTTGAGAAAAATGAAACTTCTTTCCATTGCTGTATTGATTAAAACACCAGAAGGAAAAGGAAAACTATTAACTTCTAAAAATGAATTATCCTCTTTTGGCTATTTCCAGAGGTCTACGTAAGTTGTTTATTACTTTTAAAAAAATAAAACATCTTTCATGTTCCTGGGATTAAGTATTTAAAAATCAAGTTTTATTTGTATAGCTTCAATAAACTATGTGGAGCCACTAACATTTTAAACTAATGAGTGAAATTTTAAAAAAATATTGAAATAAAATTCTGTCACAACATGACAGAAATAATTAGCTAATTTATTTACCTGTTTCTTGGGTATAAATAATACTGATACTGATATTAAAAACACAAAATAATTGCTAATATAAAAGTTCTCCTTACCTTAATTTAAAAAAAATTAAAACAATCATAACTCAATGACTGATAGTTTTAGAGTTAAGATTTTTTTCATTTAAAACTTCAGGATACTTCTAATTAGCAACATATATAATATATTTTGACAATATTGTTTCTTTTGGTCTCATATGTGATTAACTAGAAAATTCTATTTTGTGTATTACTTTTACATTTTTTATATAGTATGTTTCTTATTTTATTTAGAATAAGTGAATTTATGACCTTTACAAGCAAGATTCTTGTAGAAAGAACCGCAACTGCTTCAAGGGCATCTGTGAAAGAGCAAGGTAGTCATTATACATGAACCAGGCCTATTTTCTGCTAATTTTAATTTATTATGATATTTGATGTAATAGTTGTATTGCTGAATTTTCTTAGAAATCAGAAATTTCCATTAAATACTTCTGAGTTTGAAAATGATTTTTTTCATTTGGTCATATTTTCCAGAAAACATATGTCATGTCTATGTTAGAAGTGACAACTTGGCTGGCGTTGTAATTGCAGACCAAGAGTATCCACAGAGAGTAGCTCACACATTGATCAACAAGGTACAGCTAGCTCCCTCTTACCAAACTTTTAAATAAAATAATTAAATAACATTATGATAATTAGTTTTCTAAAGTTTTTAACAATTTTGTTCAGTATTTATATTAATATAATGTTTATAGAAATTGTGGCTTGAAATTAGAACCAGACTTGATATGAATTGTTGTGGCAGATTGCTATTGATTATCATTTCATTACAAAGTCATTAACATATTTTATGCTCCAGATATTTTTAAAAAGTATATTGTTATAATGAAAACAGTTTTACTATTATTGATTTAATTGTTACTATTAACTGCCTTGTAAAATAAAGTAATAAGGATTAGTTTTTGGAACACAATCAAATAATGAGAAATGGTTCAAATTATAAATGTATATTATTTTACAGATTCTAGATGAGTTTCAAGAGAAATGCCCCAAGTCACAATGGTCTTCGATAAAAGAAAAGTTAGTGTGTTTTAAAGTTTTAAAAAGATTATATATAATGTTAGATTAGAAAAGAAATATTTTTAAAAATCAATCATTGTCAATCCTTTTTTCCCCCCTAGTTTAAAGACCTATTTTGTTTCTTTCAGTGAAGCACCTTTCCCTCAGTTAGCTGAATATCTACAGAAGTATCAGGTAGATAAACACAAATTTTGTTATGATGATGTTTTGTGGTGATCTGAATTATGTTTTACTAGGGAGAGGTATCTCTCGTATGAGATCTCCTCTTGGCACTCTGTCTAGGGATTCATTTAATTAAGCCAAATTGCCGTACTGACATAATAGCCTATCTATATACATATACATATAGACTGAAACGAAGTCTTTGTTACAGGAGAAAATAATTATAAGTATTAATTGACTAAGGGTGTTTACAATTTACTTAGTAGTACACTCTTGATGAATAATTTATATACAACAAAGGGATATAATAAAATTATAAATGTATATCAATGAAATACAAGTGTCCCTAACATACTGACAGTGTCCCTAACATACTGACAGTGTCCCTAACATACTGACAGTGTCATCATTATTATTGCTATATTTGCTCAAGGTCTTATGTTCAATCGTAGTGGACTTAAGCCTTTATAGTTGCACTGATGATCTCGGTGGATCAGAAATGTGTGGGAGTTCCTTCTTTTCAAGAAGTGTGTCCCCCGTCCCGGTCTTCGGAGCTTTTCCAAGCGAAGCAAAGTTGGACTTCCCGGTCGTAGATTCCGTGCGATCTCTGTGATGGGGAAGTAAACTCTCCAGGGATAAATCGGGGGTGGTAAGAGTCCCTGGATCTCAAGGTCCTTCTATTAGCTGTTGGTAGTTTGGTGTGGGATGTAAATCGATCCCCTAGTTCCAGCTTCAACGTACGTCGGTCTAGTAAGAATAAACCAGGCTAAAGGCATATTGATACAAAATAGACAAGTATCCAGGCGAATAGTCATAAGCTGACAAGTCCCGATCCAACAGCAACGAATTCAGATCGATGTATGGAGGGTGACATAGCTTGTACATAAACATCCAATTTGTGGATAGATTTATAAATCTTTGTCATTGTTGGCGTAAGCATATGTTGCCTCACAACAATGTTGGACCAAGTGAGCATTTTAAATAAAGTATGGGACTTTGAATCATTAATAACCATTTATTTCATAGGTACATAATAATTTAATATACATATTGTCATCTTGTTAAAAGAGACATCGGCGAGTTGAAACAACAACCTACCATCTCTATGATGGGATGGCGGTGTGTTGTAGCCCTCTGCAAAGTCAATATTAGAATACATAATATATCAATCACAATCGAATCCTTGCTACATAATTATATGAACATAACAAGTGCAATAACAAAATATAAAAATCATGGTTCCGTACTTACTAGTATTCTAGGTTGCAGTTAATGATCATGCTATGACGTCCTAAGTCTAGTTACCTCCAGCGTTCACAATCAAGTGATAAGATCATAAAAGACAGATTCTGATCTGCTCTTGCAATTTATTTAAGTTGGTTGATATTTAATTGGGTGGTTTAAATGTTGTTTGTTCTCCAATCCAATGATAATCACTTTTAATGTTGTGGGTTTGACCTTCTACCAACAAAGTTTATCGGGGAGAAAGGTGGGTTTACGGTGGAAGAATTTTATAATGTCCAGCCTCAAACCATCACATCAACTAAAGCAACTTATTTACCTACTAGCTAAATGCTCTATTCAGGGTTGCAGTCTGGAAAATGGGAAATAGTCTGGAATTCATTGAATAATTTGCCCGGTCCTGAAAACCGGGAAAATGGGCCTTCTTGTAAGGAAATTTTCCGGATAGTCTCGAATTTTTTAATTTGTACAAAATATTAATAAATTTAGCTTTGGAGGCCATGAAAATTGAAGTTAATCACAGATCGTGTCTATTTTTAGCCTTTCTGTTATCAAAAGGACCTTGCCAAAATGCGAGTAGTTTCTCCTTAGCTGTGCATGCGTTTTGAGCGCTACGAGTTTCTAATGCCGCACTACTTTGATAGACCAGAAATATTTAATTTCTGTTCAGTTTGCCGATGAGAGATGTTTGGGTAAGTGAAATTCTAAAATATGGTAAACAATTATTTGAATCTAGTTTTCAATTGTGAGGCAAACATTATAAATAGAAAACTATTCATCAAGGCGCTGTCTCAAATGTCTAAGCTTAGCGTACTTTATGTCTTAGTCTTAATAAGATGATTTTCAACGGTTTTACTGAATTAGGCAACACATATTTTTTTTGTTTAGTGCAAGGCAGCCTTTAACTTTTTAAAAGACTTTAAGTTCACTTTACATTTAATTATGGAGTAGGCCTTCTAAATTTAAATAGGCTAATATGATTAAGTTATTTTGTGATGTTATTTTGGCATAGATTAGTTAACTAGTTTGCTTCTGATTTCAGAAAGTTATTTAAAAGTTAATAAAAAATAGTTGATTAGACTCGATACATCAATTCAGTGAGCTCAACATAACTGTATTTAGTTAGACTTTATTTATATTTATGCATGCCTGTGCTCTAGGTAGGGTATACTTTACGGTATTATACTATCATTCATAAGCACAGTGGCGGGAGCAAGGGTTTTTTTTGTTTTTGTTTTTTGTGTGTCGGTTGGGGTACCCTTGGAGACCAAAAAAAAGGGGGGGGGGTGCAATGATCCATTCCCCTGCGGAAAATCCCGACTATGCTGTTTCATATGCATATCTTAGTATCTTTTCTGACTCTGTATTACCGTAGTTTAGTAATGGTACAATATAGTCTATAAGATGTATGCCTTACTGTAAATTATAAACATAATATGATAATATATTTTATTTTGTTTCACTATTCAGGATCTAGGCTCCATAAAATAATGTCCAACAGTTCCTTTAAAGACTAATGGTCAGGACAGCTATCATGATTGAACAATTCATCACTGCTTCACTATGCTGGAAATATTGATATTGAGTATTCAGGGCGAAAATATTTTAAAAATGTTACTCATCTGATGAGACCTCAGTTTTATCATCTATCTTAGGTGTCCACTTTGGCAACTTCTCAGCCAAGCTCCCAATTTATGTCAAAATAGGAAACCCTCTTTGGAGAGATTTTATAGAGACTAAAGTGTGTTGACTCAAACTACCGGTATCCATTTTCATCACAAAGAAGAGGACATTAACTCCATATAAGAAAATATGCTTTCTACGTGTGGTAGCTATACATATGTTCTAACATGCCCAGGAGAACACACTGCAAAAGTTGCCCTAGCACTTTAAAAGTAAACATCAACAATTTTTCAAGTCTAAGTAAATTGAAAAATTGAAATTTCTTGGAATTTCAATAAATATTTATATGTATACACCTTAATTGCTTAATTTTGTGTTCATTTGTGTTGTATTTCAATGTTGCTTTACTTTGACAATTTCATGGTTTTTATATTATCAACAAAAACGCTGCATTGTGATACTCAGGAATTTTTTTGTTTTTAGTTGGGAAAAAGTAGGGAATTGTGTTTTTAAAAAAAGAGTGGGAACCAAGTCTATTTGTAGTAGTTGTAATTAAACTTAATAATATTCATGGATGCATTAAAATATGGTTACTCACAAAATGCATTAAAATTTGTTTTTCAGAATCCCAAAGAAGCTGATGCTATGACTAAAATTCAGTCAGAGCTGGATGAAACAAAAATTATTTTGGTGAGAAAAATTATTACATTGTTTCATAGAAAAAATACATTTTTAAAAAGTATTTAATTTAAAATAAAATTAATTCTGAATTTTATGATTACATTACTGTTTTAATTTCCCAGTTCAGATGGATGCGCCTGCGTGCCCCAAACAATCATTTACATATTCCTGATCAACATAACTTGTAGTTAGTTAGGTCTCTTGATGTTATACAATAATGTAGTTAATTTATTAATATATTTTGTTAAAAGAATGGACACTAATTTTAGTTTATATCAATTTTTTTTTCAAAGATTTATCCACAAATTATTACATTTTGATGTAATAACTAAGTACCCCTACTGGTATTTAAGAATCAAAATACTTTATCCCAAATGAGCCATAGCAGGTTTTAATAAATTAAAATTCTAAGCTGGTGATGCTCTTTGATTTGCTCAAACTATGGGCTCATGAGTAAGTAAGTGAGTTACAGAGTAATTCATATCAGGTTTTAATTTTGCAAATCCCCTTTAATAGGTTGTGGCATTGCTTACTATTGGAATCGCTGTTACTATTTATTTTGTCAAAGATAAAAGAATTAACTTAATATTTACAGTTTATAGATTTGCCTAATTTTTCTTGTGTTAGTTCACATTTTGAAGTTTTTAAACCGGTTTCAGAACAAGATGTCAGAAGTGTTATTCTGCTAAACCTACGTCATGTTCTTTGGACCCCATCCCCACCCCTCTGTTGGTTGAGTCGTTAGATCATTTGCTCCCAACGATAACCCATATAGTCAATGAAAGCTTGTCTTCTGGCACTGTTCCCTCTATTTATAAGTCAGCTGTCATCAAACCATTGCTTAAGAAGCCTTGTCTGGATGAAAATAATTTTTAAAAACTATAGACCTGTATCTAACTTATCATTCTTATCTAAAGTCATTGAAAAACTAGTTCTAAAACAACTTTTTGCTTACTTAAACTCCCATTCTGTCCTAATCAGCCGGCCTATAGACCATTCCATAGGACTGAGACAGCTCTCTTGAGAGTCACCAATGACCTCTTTCTGGCATTGGACAGCAGTGATATCTCCATCCTGATCCTCTTAGACCTCAATGCGGCCTTTGACACTGTTGACCGTGAAACCCTTTACAAAACCCTTGAAAATTACTTTGGAATTTCGGGATCAGTTTTGGCTTGGTTTAGGTCCTACCGCTCCGATAGAACGCAGGCGGTCACTGTCGATGGCTGTCTCAGCAGTGCTGACTTGGTGTATGGAGTGCCACAGAGGTCCGTTTTGGACCCGGTTCTATTCACCATGTAAACCAGGCCACCGCTCCTTTTGCTCAGGAGGAATGCTGTGGAGAGCCAGTCATTCGCAGATGACACACAGCTATACAAGCATACCCATCCCTCTCTTTTCCATTCTGCTATCAGGACTTTGAGGGAGAGCATTAATGATGTCAAGACATGGATGACAGCTAGTTAAAGCTTAACGATGACAAAACGGAAGCACTCCTTATTCACGATCACAAATCATCGTCTAACTCAACTCTCCCCACTTCATTTCATGTAGGTAACTCCGACATACAGTTTACATTCTCCGCTAGGAATCTTGGTTATATTTTGTCTAAAAAAATGTCTCTCGATAATCATATCTCTCACATTTGTCGCTCTGTATACACTGCAATTCGTCAGATCAGCTCCCTCCGCCACTACATCACATTTAGTGAAATAAAAACCCTAGTTTGTGCTCTAGTTCCCTCTTGTCTTGACTATTGTAACTTTCTTCTATCAGGTTCACAAAACACTTCTTAGAAAAATTACAAAAGGCTCAAAACTCAGCTGCCAGGCTAATTCTAAAGGCAAAAAAAACGTGATCACGGCACACCACTACTTTATTCACTTCATTGGCTCCCTGTACAAGCACAGATTGACTACAACTCTCTGTTCTCTGCCACAACTTTTTCTTGAATTCCTCCCCTTCCTATCTAACCGAACGTCTCTCTTCTTATTCACCCCTTCGACAGCTTCGCTCCTCCGCAAATGTGCCCCCAAAGAATGGAATTCTCTTCCACTACACATTTGCAATAAATCGACCATCACAGCCTTCAAAACTGCACTCAAAACACATCTCTTTAAACTTTACTATCCTGACTGATTCCCCCCTTCTGATCAATAAACAATGGTGCTGGGTAGCTGTCCATGGCTTGACATGTAAATAGTTCTTGAATGTGCGGAGTGAATATACATTTGTTTTGTTTTATTTAATTAATGTATGTAAATTTTTAAGTTCTTGATTAGTTTATTAAATTGTATGTACAGCGTGGTGAGCCCAGCCCTAGGCTGACGTACCCCGCTATATAAAACCAACCACTAATAATAATAATAATAATAAAAAATTGTAATTTTTATGTATTTCTCTCCAGCACAACACAATTGAAGCAGTGTTAGAAAGAGGAGAAAAATTAGATGACTTGGTAGAGAAATCTGAAGGTCTCAGCATGCAGTCTAAAACTTTCTATAAAACGGTAATTTTTTTAAAAACAAGATGTTGCTCGACATAAAATTCATTATTTTAACCATTTAACTATAGTCATTGGATGATTTCAAGAATACTATGCTTTACTGTATTTTAAAAAAAAAAAATAATTATACGTTATTTAAGGTTAGAAATCTTTAAAAAAAACTGTGCTAAAACATTAGTTTCCTCAGTAAATTACTTATTGTAAAAGTGTAATATTAAATTGTTTTGTTATTATGTCTTTTGTTGTTCATAATTTTCTAATAAGATAAGATAAAATTCTTTTATTGATCCAAACAAATGGAAATGTTTATTTGATTGCATAGTACATTTTCAGCATACATCTACATTAAATTATTTCACTAGTGAAAAAATCAGCCATTCAGTGAATTCTCTTAGCCATATCATGGACTTATTAGTTCTCATTAAGATTTGTGACTTCATGGGGAGCATGCTGGTAAATTCGTACAGATTGGGGAACAAAAGAATTTTTCTATCATTCAGTCCTCGCCCTGAGAGAAAGAATTTGTCCCAAACAGGCCGATCCTAAGAATCTGGGATGAAGAGGGTGGGATGTATCATCCAAAATTTGTTTAGTTTTACAATAACATCTTTCTTCAATTAATTTTTCAAGTGAAGGATGTTTAGTTTGTGTTCTTAGCTTTCTTGATTAGTCTGTTTATTTGGTGTTTAATATCAAAGGATGAATTCCCACACCAGCAGGTAATATTGAAATTAAGTAGGCTTCCAATTGTTGCACTGTAGAATAAGTTAAGGACTTGTTTGTTTGCGCCGCAATTGTACAGTTTTTTGAGGTAGAACAGACAGTCTTTGGTTGAATTTCTTATACAGCATTTGGCAGTGCTCATACCATGTTAGCTTATTGTTAATGGCTACACCTAAGTACTTACATGCATCTACTTCTCTACACTTTTATTTTTTATACTGAGATCTGTAATCTGGTGTTTCCCCCTCCTGAAATCAACAACCATTTCCTATGTTTTTGAGACATTCAGCTGTAGAAAATTTTCATCACACCAATTGATAAAGCTTGTAACTAAGTTGTGGAATATAAGCCTTCTCCCTGAGATATAAGCCAACGATGGTGCTATCATCAGCAAATTTTAATTGGAACGGTGTCGCTTGAGCTCTGAATATTATTGGTATATATTGTACACAGTACAGGCCCCGGTGCTTATTTCTCTGGTTAGAGAATTGGTCATTTACCTTGACACATTGTGGACCATTTGTTAAAAAGTTCAGTATCCAAGCATGATTATTTAAATTTACACTTAACAAGGATGGTGTGGATGGAAAATGTTAAATACTGATGAGAAGTCTAAGAAAAGCACTCTGGCATATTTTTTAGGGCTGTGTAGGTTATGGTAAAGTCTCTCCAACAATAGTAAGATAGCATCCTCAGTGCTTTTGGCAGGTTTATAATTGTAAGTAAACTGGTGGGGGGTCAAGTTTTTTCTTCATTCAAAATTTGTCTCAGAATAAGTTTCTCAAAACATTTCATTACAATAGAGGAATAGAGGTAAGTGCGACAGGACATAAGTCGTTATTGCAAGTTACCTTATTTTTCTTTGGAATTGGTATGATCTCTGAAGTTTTCCAATTTTGTGGTATTGTGTGAGTTACATAAGATTTATTAAATATGTAATAAGAAAATTCAGGAGAGCTGCTCTGAGCATAGTTTAACGAGCCGACCATTTAATTTGTCTGGCCCCGAGGCCTTGGCTGCGTCCACTTGTTTAAATAACGACATCACTTCCTGTTCGGTGAACCTAGTTTTAAAATAATTATTGCCCAGTTTGACGTTTTTTCCTATAGATTTTACTAAATGAATTGAAGTTTGTGTTATCAAATTTGATTATTGAAACGTGATCATTAATTTTTTTAAATATTCTTTTTCAGGCTAAAAAGACAAACCAATGCTGTACTATACTGTGAGGCTCACCAGATATAATCTAGTGTAATTTTATAATGAACTACTTGTTGTTGTCTTTGTAAATAAAATACAAATATTAGAAATTAAATGCGACACAGAAATGCTATCTCTTGCTCTGTATCTTGTAACAGCTTCTTCTTATGTTCATGATTTTCTGATAGTCTTGTCTTTAAATCGTTCAACTAAAGCCAAATGGTGCAGAAGGTTTTGGTATAATATTTTATGGTAACAAATTTTCATTTATATTTTAAAATTCATACATATTTTAAAATAATACTGGTATTTAAAAGAAAAATATTCTCTAAATATGTATTTTTCTTCAGGTATTTTAAGTATTAGATAACTATTTTCATAAAGCCTTTAGTGGAAACATTTGCTGATTTTTAAAAAGAATCTTTGGATTTGAATTAGTCTGTTTACACTGCTGGTGGCTATCAATCTTTTCAGTTGAAACTAGTCAACACATTTTATTTCAATAGTGGTTTACAATTAAAAATGTTTTTTTTTATTTTTAACACTTATAAAAACAAATATTTTTAATGTCTTTGTTGCTTCTTTTTTTTTAAAGTTGTGTATTGTTTAGGCATCTTCATTTTATTTTTATCATAACCCCATCAATGGTAATTTGGTTAAGATTATCTTGAGCACAAAATATTTAAAGTATATTGTGCACTCAGTGGATAAAACTGTCTTAAAATTATTTCAAACTGTTTTTTTTTTAAATTTCCTGTCTGTAATAATTTTTGGTTGTAAAATGATTGAATATTTGAAATAACTATTGAAAATGAACAATTTGGAGGTTATTTTTCACTAATACAGTACTACTACATTAAATACATTAATAAAAGTTTAACACATTCCAACTTAATCAGTGAGTGAGTGTTCCATTGTAAACTTGCCAAAAAGCTATTACAAGCCAGAGCTCATTTTCTAACAATGACTTTAAAAAAGCCAAGTACCAGCTTGCTGTTGTTTAAAAGGGGTGGGAAAATCTTGGCATACCTGATTAGAGAAAAGGTCTGGTGAACATCTCTAGCTCCTTATAACCAACAAGAGATCTCCTCTGTGTCTGTTCCCCTACAAGTATAACATGTAGCTGTAGGATGCTGTTAACGTTTAAGTCACCACAGTATTTCCAATTAGATATTTTCAGCCACCAATGATCAGCCTTAGTAAGCAAAATAGCAATGGGACAAGACTCCTACTCCCTGTTAACTTTTGGACAAAAACAAAGACCCACACCACTGCCAGAATACTCCAGGATGTTCAGAAGGCCTTGTAGTTTTATGTTTCAGATTGTATTGTATCAATTTTCCATTTTGTAAGCGATGTGCATTTCTTACTTTTGCATGTTATGTTTTTAACTGAAATAATTAAATTGGTTAGTCATTTCTATCTCTTTACCTGGCATCCTTCGCTCTGTGAGTGACAAATGTTGCATTTCATTCGAATACACTTGTATAGATATATGAAATGGTTATTATATATAGTTGTTGAAAATGAAAATTAATTTTGTTCAGAATTGTTGAGAATTGCGATTAATTTTACTTGTAATTAAATTCTTTATTACTACTACAAAGAAAGTTTTAATGGGGATATAGGACCAGTGAATATTGTGAACATTGCATTGAGAATTTCTTTGTGCATTTCTATACAAGAATTAAATACATAAGAATAACTCATTTGTTATCCACACAGTCAGGATAAGTGATTTCAAAATGGAGAAGAAACAAAACTCTCATTATAAATAGATCCTCTAGGCATTAACTTTTTCAAAGTTAAGTTTTTAAAATGTAAGGGAATAAAAAATATTTCAGAATAGTAACTAAATTTTTCAATTTGTATCTGATTCAGTTATATATAACTTTGGTCTTTGTACATAGTTGTAAATGTCCATCTGTTTTTGTTTTTTTTTAAATAAAAAAAAAAAGGATCCGTGAATGACCAAAAAAAACAACACCCTATCTAAACTATCTTCATTGTTATTGGATAAGAGATGGTGTTTATTTATTAATGCATGAGTATTAAAGCAATTTATCTTAATTGTTTTTTTAGTTAATGATGCTATTGGTATGAGTATTGTAAACCTTGTTTGTTAATAAAAAGTTAATTAAAAATTATGAATTTTCATGTAACACGATTTTTTGTGTTTTAAATATGAGATTGATTATGATGATAAAATAGATACATAACTAAATAAAAGAAAAACTAAGAGTTTCAACTATGGATAATGTAATAAAATTTTCAACACAATATGAAGACAGTGGAACATAGATTCATAGCATGAGTGGGTCACCATTTATAAACATATTATATCCATCACCATTTCACTAGCATCTCTTCTTACCTAAATAAGTTTTTACCTAAATATTTTCTGAAGGTTGTAAATAAAAGGAAAAAACATCAGAAAACAAATGCACTTTTTCAATAATGTACAACATTCATATTCCTCCAGCACGTTGGTCATCATTCTCTTTTTACTAAGTAATTCAAGCTGCTACAATTAAACAAAATAGCTTTAAACTGTGATATAAAATGAAACGAAGGAAATTTTAAAGAAAATTATTAATATGTGTAGGAGTTACTTTCATAGTTGATGAACTAAATTATAACCTATAACAAGCAATCCTATTCATATCAAGCACACTGACAAGAATTCCATACTGTATTTTAGGGCTATTCCTGCTTGATATATAATGCTTGCTAATTTTGGTTGTAAATTTCTATATTTTATTTTCAGAAAAATGTTTAAATAATTTTTTGTCCTCCACAAATTGGTCCATGTATTGAAAAAAATTTAAATAGATACTTAACAGGATGGGAGTTGACACAACTCCTTAAGAATAACAGACCTGTTTACTCTTAAGATTTTGGCGTACAATGTACGATTTTTAGGCGTATAGATTGTATATACTGTTAATTTTTTACTATAAATATAACGTATTGAACGATTTTGTGATGATATTCTACGAATTTAAGAGTTTGAGGGTAAACAGGTATGGAATAAGGTTTTAGGTACTAAAATTGTTAAAATTTGAATCTCACATTTTCCACTGGCATGCCTTTGGACTTAGCTATAATGTAATGAAACATTAAAATGTTAACTTATAGACATCAACTTAAAACTAGTCTAACAATGTGTTGGGAATCTTTCTGCAGGTTATCACTTAGGTAACACAGGATAATTTATCTGATAACAGGAAATAAGCATAGTAATGATAAAAAAATAATAATATAAAAAAAGGGGGGGGAGGGGGGTAAAGAGACTTATAGTATTTTAACAACACTTGGTACAGCAGATTACATGTCACACATTTCTTTCTTTAGGAATCATGTAATCTAGCCATTGTTTAGTTTTCACAAAAACAATTAATATTTTTCATATTTGCTCCATGATTTCATACAAGCCCTATGAAAAAAGTGCCACTCATAGATATACAATACATTTTACAAAAATGGCACATAAGATTTCCTCTTGTTTTTGTTGCAATTTCTTCAGTCAGCCATTTGAAAAAAACAATTTAAACAAGACATGATAGTACTCTTTATACATTTGAGGTTAAGGATCCTTTTAACCATGCACTTCCTTTATCATTTAATGTGTGAAATAGTTGGCCTGCAACATGTCTTTGGATGTTCATTCAAGCAAACCTGCTGATCAGTCACACATTAATAGAAGAAACAAAAATATTCATGTTCCAATACAAATACCTGGGCAAGAATTTTACCCCAAAAAAAAAAAAATTTAAAAAGCCAATATGTAATGAAAAAGTAATATATAGGTCGTTATAGCTTGATCATAGAATTTTTAAAACAAAATTTTAATATCTTTGCTAAAGCCAATAACCTTTTCATAATATGTGAAAATAATTGTAGATGATGTTACCAAATAAATTTAGTTCTCAAAATGTTGAAAGCGCAATGTTCAATATGAAAAAAAATGAAATGAGTGTAAAGGAAATGAATTTGTTCAACTTATTATATATTTCAAAAAAATAATAAAAAGCAGCTACTTATTTGAAGCTACTAAGACAAATAAGTGCTTTTAATTTTTTTGTCATACTTTCTTAAAAAAGAAAACTTGTTAGTAAAAAGTAACCCTTTAAATAAAGGAGCATTCCATACCGATTCCTATAAAATATTTTTTTAAAATGTTATATTTGCATTATTATTGTTATTTTTTTTTACATTGCTGGTTTAAGAGTGTGGTAATGAAGTGTAAACAAAAATACTAAAACAAGATATTTTTAAAAATTACCATCTTGTAAAAAATTTTTTTTGCCATTTTGTAAAAAATGTGTACCGGGTACTAAATCATATTTAATTACAATTTAACAGAAACAGAATTCCATGAGAATTTTGTCAAAATTCATGTCATAAAATCCAATCTTTAAGTATATTTGTCTAAGTGATCTTAATTCTCCTTGAAGCTGCCATCAAAGATAACCCTGATATGTGTAGTTTCAGTGAGAAGAACTCATCATGCTGCCTTCTTTCATGCTTTGAAATGTATGGCCATAGTATGACCACATAAAGAAATCATACAAAACTTTTGCTAGATCAATGTCTCTTCTCAAATCGAAATCCTGTTTTTTCTCTGGAGGCTTCGCTCTTAGCTCCATTTAATAGAAGGTACTAATAGTAAAAATCTTGTCAAGTTTAAATTTTGCATGAGTGATACAATTTTTTTCTCCATAAACCTGTAGCCATCCATTTTACTTGATATATAGAAATCATGATATAGTTTAATGAAGCGGCAATACAAATTTAATCTCTTAAAGTTTGCGATTTATGTTTGCTATTATTTAACCAGCTCAATACACTTTCAAAAGAATTCACTTACATACAGGCCTATGAGAAATGTAACTGCCAAAGTGGAACAGAACTGATATACAGCAAACATGTAATCAGTTTCAATAATTTCCAGTCAACCCAGTAACATTTGTTGGTTTCCTGAAAAAGGAACTGAAAGTTATGAAAATTGTACTTTCACTTCCAGGTAAGGTATTGGGGAATCAAAGAGCAACTAATTAAGTGAATATGACAGAGTGTGAGTTTGAGGAGAGTGAGGCAGCAATAGTTTAGGAAATTTTGTTGAATTCACAAATAAGCTTCATACTTCATGGTTAAAATATACATGTTGGCCATAAGAGGAAAATAATTTTCTTCAAATTTTGTTTATTTAAGTCATTACAGAGAACAATAGCTCAACCAAGCAAAATGATTCACTATCAATGTAAAGATCTAATTTTTAGTCCTTAAAATTATTCATATTTCACCATAAAAAAAAAGCATTTTTTTAAAAACATACACACACGTTTACACATATTTATACTCAAAAAGTTATCTGGTTTAAATATCAAGGTGTTGAAGGTTGTTTATTTTCAGCTCAAAACTCATGTTGAAGGTACCATGGATCAAAGAAAATATTGCTTCAGTGAAAAAGTTGTTTGCTTCACATTATTGCATTGGTTCATGTACCAAGATGTACACAATACACTAATGGTGCAGCCATACTCACTTATTGAAAAGTACAATTGATAACTTTCATAAAAGTTGGAAAAGAAATGAATGGAAGCAATCTATAGTTAATTTCTTTCCTCTATTAAAAAAGTTTAAAATTTCCCACAGGAAATTGATATTTTGGTAGATTTTTAAAACTATTAATTAGAAGTGTGCACATACAGTTAAAACATCATTGCAATAAAGTATAGAAATATTGCATGGATTCTATCTAGAATGAAACTAGTGATTAACACAGCTAAATTCTAATTCTTCATTATCATATTAGATATACTAATTGTTAAAATTTAGACAGCCCCATTTTAATAAAGCAATATTACACGATAATATTTTTAAGCTAATATAAACAGTGTTTGTTTTTTTCTAAAAGGTGGCTTCATATATTCCAGTGAAGAAAAAGACATTGAAACACATTTTTATAAAGAAGTTAGTATCTTTAAGTTATTGAAATTCAAATTTAAAAAAACTATTAAAAAAACAAACATTTGCAAATAATTTTAATCTGTAAACTGATGTAACTAAGAATGATATAATATAAAATTGTATCATATATCCCAGAAATGTACATACACTATCTGTTGTAGTTTAAATGCAATGTTACACAAATAGGAATGCAATCAAATTAAGCTTAAACAATGACCAAAAACAAGTTGACATAGTCAGTTTCAGTTGCACTCTGGAACAACTTAAGTAAAAATATTTCATTTTGACTTTCATTCAGTATATACAAAACAATTTAAAACAAAAAACAACACAAGTATATGTTAAATCTAAATCCTAATAAATGCTACAATTATTTCCTTGTGGTTATTGAAGAGGGGAAAACATATCTAGAAAGAGTTGTGTTGTCACTCAAGTTTCTATTTCCAATGAAAAATCTGAATGCTTTTTTAACATTGTTTATATTCACTATGGTAATGAAATCCTTACTGAGAAACAAAGTGAACATTTACAAAGATTTGTGAGACAGTAGTCTTGTAAGACTTGTTTACCCTCAAAGCCTAGAGGGTTAAAATGGCTGGAAAATGTAAAAATATAAATATTTAAAGTGAATCTATTGCAATGTACACAATTACTATACCCTTTGACCATTTGAGATCTGCACTTAATAAAAATATAAGATAATATCTGATTTTCCTTTACTACAATAATTTAGTTTAAAACTTAAGCTTTTTATCTTAATTTTCTTTTCCTGTCATATATGCTGGTGAATATTTTAATTTTTTTAAAATGCTATGAAAGGAGAAATTTTATAAACCAATGTCTTTCACCACTTAATAATAGAAATAAATGCAAACCCCTTATTTGATGTGATAGTCAAAACTTGCAAAATTCTATTAAATACTGGGGTACACCTAAGTTTGGTTAATTTAAAAAAAAAAAAAAGTTTTTCTTGTTAATAAAACATTTTTATTTATTTAAAGAAACATGTATCAGTTGTATTAAAGATGGTATATTTGAAGAATTTCAACAAGTCTAATGACTTTAACACATCTATGACTTTAACACATCTATCTGTTAAGAGTTATCATATTTATTCTTTTCTAATGCGAGAAGATCTCACTTGTCCACTTTGTTTCTCAGAAAAATGGAACAAACTTTT